GTCCTTGTCTTGAATGCTGACAACAGTCAGGGGGCAGGAGGGGAGCCACTCACTTCAAAACTGCAAGCGGGCCTACCTTCTGCATGTGCTGGTCTGTCTTTGCCATCTCTGCAAAGTAATCGTCCGGGCGCTTTGTGAACACTTTCAGCTGATGAAAACGTGGCAGAGCAAAGAGCACGGCCGCCTGTGCTTGCCGGTAACTGGAAAAGAACGAGGGAATCAATATTAAAAAGGAGCGCCGAACTCTGGAATTCATGACCCGCTTCAACACTAAACTTCCAAAACATAGATGAGTAAAATGACAATTACTGTTGTGGAGGACAAACAAACATTTTCAACCTCCGGACAAACAGACAAAGCAAACAAACAAATACAAGTGGCACCGCTTCAACTGGCCGGCCGCAGGTGCTCGTCTTCCTGGGATTTGCCTTTTCCCCAAAGCTCATGCCACACACTGCTGCCCCACGCCCCCCCAAACTGTGATGAACTTTGACACCAGACAAGCAAGCAAAAGAGCAGGAACGGTCAGTCAGTTATATCCAGCACCCGTCCAAAGTGGTGCCATCACCAACACGTTTCACCCACAAAAGGTTTAGTCATAGTGGTACCCTAGAATATCAAAGTCTGATCGCTGCTTTCGGCACTGTATGGTAACAATGCTGCGCAGGGAATAGTGCAATTCATGTGCGCCACATTTGCACGGGAGTTCCACAAGACACATTTTAGGTTTTACAAGTTCAGTAGCAAATCACTCACAAGCACATTTCCCTCTGGAAATCATCCTCGGCATTGAGATCAGAACCCTGAGCTGCCTCCACCCCGTTCTGTGCCGTCTGTACGGTCTTGTCTGGTTCGGGCGCCGTTGTTACGTCCAGACGCTCCAACCACTCCAGATCTTTCTTCAGATCCTGAAAGCTTTGTCTTAGTCCATTCTGAAGAGGAACACAGATGTCATGTTAGACGTTATGAAAGGAAGAGAGTTTGATTGGCTCCCTTTCTTGTACTTTACGTAAGCTACCATTGTTGACATCTTGAAAATGCCAGCTGCTTGGCTGCCAATGGCCTCAATACTTTCTGAGCCACTGACCTGGAGAAGCACTAGACACAGAGATGGAGACAAATCTTAATCTCTGATCTCGATACTTGTCCCAGGTCAGTGACTAAGCATTGAGACCCTGATTAGACCGTACAGATTGAATGTAATAGTAACTAGTGTCAGTGGAAAAAATGCTGCCAGCACACCTAGGAGTTTGTTGCAAAGCCCACAATTTTACTGCAAGCTCACCCAAGAATGCAACATTTGGAGACCAGCAGGAGCCTATCACATGGCTGATTAAGGGATTATTATGATACAGGATTTATATAGCGCCAACAGTTTGCGCAGCGCTTTACAATATAAGGAAGACATTACAATACAATTCAAGACAAGACAAGATGGTAAGGAGGGCCCTGCCCCGGAGGGCTTACAAGCTAAAGGATTCTGCACGGCATTGAAATGCTGCATTCTAAGTTGATCCTGCAATAAAGGTTTGGGCTTTGCAGCATTCTCCTGGGTTTGCCGGTGACATATTTTATCCATGTTCCTGGGAAGGGGCACAAGAAGAAGAGGAACAAGAAGCGCCGTGTCCTCACCACGTCATTAGCAGCTTTGGGTTTTCCTTCCAGCACCACGTTTAATCCAGGCTTCAGCTTTCCCTGAGCAAAGGCTTCTTGTAACTGTAATGGAAAGAATTAGAAGTACAAACTTGGATTATAAATGCGATGCACACCCAACGCTTCCTGCTGCAGGTCAGCAAGTTAGGAGAATGCTAACCAGATTTTATCATTTGAAAGCAAACTTCCAGACTGCACCCAGACTAACACGGCACACAATGTTACCAGGAGAGACAACTTGCTGATAGCACCCAGGAGGGACAGACTGGCACGGCACACAATGTTACCAGGAGAGTTCTGCTACAAGATAAAGGTTCTGGTATTCTTCTGGTGTATCCATACGGACGATTAGGGTCTCTGCTGGCATTTGGCAGAGAAACTTGGGGCCCCTGGCGCATGTCGTGTGCATACAGCTGTGGACAGATTTAGCATGCTGTACGTATTAATGGCCGCTGCTCCTGTTTGTATGTGACCACGCATAAGAGCGGTTACATGCAACTAGGGCCTCTGACCGGCACAGAAACCAGACCATTTGCATCTAGGGCCAGCGTTCTCTGCCCACATACAAACTAGACACAGCTCTCTGCCCAGTATGTATGCGGCCATAGCTTTGAGTGCTGCTGCGTCCCGATGAGGCATGTAGGCGTACCTGAATGTAGGCGTACCTGAATGCAGCAACGTTTTTGCTCCTGTGAGTGAACCCTAAAAATTGAGAAATGATAATGAAACACTCGAGAACTTTGTCTTCCTGAGAAAATAGCAATCCCATGAAGGCTCCCGATCATGTGACTCTCTGCTGCTGCGGAGTTGGCAAAATGAACATCAGGACTCTGATCGGCACTGGCCAGCTCTGCCTGAATGCCGGTCTCCAAGGATCCTCTGGCTGAGACCATGTGACCAATGTCTCAGCAATGATCACATGACCCGCTGCCAGATCCAATTCCGTTTTTATCACAAATGGCACATTTTCAGCCTCATCACTGACATTTCTCTAAATCAGAAACTCTCAATCCTAAAACTGTGCCCATAACGTTAAACCCAGAAGCAACAATGAAACATAATGCAGCGTAGATGTGATGACTTCTTTTTTTTCCCCCTTGGTGATCCTGCCAGTAACACACTTCCTGTCCTATGAAGACAAAGTTCACTCACTGGATTGTGTAAATGGAGCAGCAATGCTGTCACCACGGGCCAAGACTACAAAACACATCCCCCTCTCCATAACAAAGTGGGATGTGTTCTGTATGCTACACAGAGTGCTGGGAACAGTGTAACCTATAACGGTGCATCCCAGGCAGAGAGCAAAGGATGGTACCGGCTCACACGATGTGGGGTGTGGGGAAAATCACCTCTTTATCGGTCAGTTCAGAAGGATCGATGTCAGAATCGGAGTCAGACGCGCTCTCCTCGTCGTGATCCAACATGGTGTCCTCTAATTCTATAAAGAGAAATAAGAACAGACTATATAAGAATACTTCACAGAACGCAGGATTCTCCTCTGCTGATAAGGTGAAATGATAAACTACAGGCTGGTGAAATATAAGCCCAGGAGGCCCCATGAAGTGTGCACATTTCCCTGTGTGCTATCCCTTTAGGTGTGCTGCACAGGGGGGTGCAGAGGACAGGGGGAAGCTGGGAAGAAGTGTTATATGCCCAGTGTGTAAGAAGTGTCAGCTCACATTCCTCCTCCTCTCCAACTCTGATAAGACAACTACCCCCATCTAGCACACACAGTCCCCCCCAGCACCCCCTTCTCCTTCCACACACAGCGCCCCCTTCTCCTTCCACACACAGCGCCCCAGCACCTCCTTCTGCTTCCACACACAGTCTCCCCCGGCACCCCCTTTTCCTTCCACACACAGTCCCCCCCTTCTCCTTGCACAGTCCCTCCATCTACAGTACACACATGGATAGCTCACCGTACACACTCCTCTCCTCACGTGTAACCCAGCGGAAGCACCTCAAACCTCACTTCCGTCTACGTCATCGCAGGGAATCACGTGGCAGCCCGGAGCGACCTCCCTCCCTACCAGAGCGAGTACCCTTCCCGACATCCTCCGCGGCCTCAGCGTCCCGTCTCCATGGTGACAGGAGAACACATCAGTGAGAAGCGCACCGAGTCCGTGTGAGTGTGTTTAACCTCTAACTACCTGTATATAAACCCTTCCCTGCTGTATATACCACCTACCTATATATACTACCTACCTGTATATAACATATTCTACCTCTGTATATATCCTCCACCTACCTGTATACACCACCTACCTATATATACTACCTACCTACCTGTGTATAACATAATCTACCTCTGTATATACTACCTACCTACCTGTATATAACATCTACCTGTATATAACATAATCTACTTCTGTATATACTACCAACCTGTATATATCCTCCACCTTCCCGTATATAACACCTACCTGTATATAACATCATCTACCTTCTGTATATACTACCTACCTACCTGTATATAACATAATCTACCTACTGTATATACTACCTACCTGTATATAACATCATCTACCTACTGTATATACTACCTACCTACCTGTATATAACACCTACCACTACATATACTACCTACCTACCTGTATATACTACCTACCTGTATATCACATCTACCTGTATATACCATCATCTACCTACTGCATATACTACCTACGTGTATATACTACCTACCTGTATATAACACCTACCTCTCTGAATATACTACATACCTACCTGTATACAACACCTGTCACCTCTATATAACCTCCCCCGACCTCTCTGTCACCCCTCTCTGTCTGTGTATATCAGTCATATCATTTATATATCTTCTGTACTGTAATCTGATATTTATAAATCCCCCTTTTTTTCCACCATTGATGGGGGTTGGGACGGGTTAGGAGCTCTGTTGTGTTTTTTATTTCTGGCTGTGTCCCCATGGTGGAGATTTCCCCTCACTTCCTGTTCTCTCTGATACTGGTTACCTGGACAGGAAGTGAAGGGAAATCTCTGTCTGCGTCCTTTCTGTACATTCTTGATGAGAGAAGTCTCCTGTAGATGATTTCTGATCTCATCGTCGCTCTCTTATTCGCAGATCGTGTCTCTGGACAGTCGGCACGCCATGTCGGCCATCGTGGCTCAGTCGCATCATATTTTCGGCCTGCGCTCTCAGGTGATCAATAACATCTGTTACTTCGATGAGCAGACCGTCATCTTCCCGTCCGGCAACAACTGTGTCAAGTACAATGTGGATCAGAAATGGCAGAAGTTCATTCCGGGTAAGATCCTGTAGAGGCCGCCTCCATCCGCCCGTCAGCCAATAGGAGACGGCGAGGAGTCTGCCGCCATTATTCATATCTGGGAGGATGAATGCGCTGAGGGATCCATTCAGATATGAATTTTTATTTGTTGTAATAAAAGAGTTTATCAAGCCTCATTTCCTGGCTGTAGGACAACCAGAATCATCTAGCACTTTCCTCCCCGGCCTGACTGTGTCTGGCCACGCCCCTTTCATTCATTGGATTTCAGTTCTGTCAATCATGGAGGCTCAGCATCACATGTGGACCTTACCTAGGGCGGTCTGTATGCAAGTGCAGCCTGCTTATGAACGCCCACTCCTCCAGACTGGCACCCAGGGGGCGTATCTGCCGCGAGGCAAACAAGGCGTTTGCCTGGAGCGGCAGATTCGCAGAGAGCGGCTCCCCGAGTGATACTCACGTGGATGGGATGACGCGGACGTCGGCATAGTTAAAAACACCGCTGCTGACACCCGTCCATCAAGGCATTTTGATATTTGCATAACTCCTCCCAAGAGCCAGCCCACTGCTAGCATCGAGGCTGAGGACTCTTGAAAACAGTACTGAGGCCAGGTGCTGTGATGTTTTCAGGAAGCTATGTACAGCACCCTGCCGGCTCCTCCCACCAGCCATGATCGTCCTGCATTGCTGTAATCTAGCTGTGCTCCCTCACAGCCCCCAAACTCTTGCTGAGATGAGTAAGGAGCAGGGGCATCAACAGGGACACCATGCCCCCCCCCCAAAAAAAAAAGTTTTCCACTTCAATAGGAATTAAATTGGATGGAAGATGAGGATCACCCTCTGATCCAGCTCTGATTTTGCAGGATTATATTTATTATCTCCTGACTTTCCTTTCTACCCGCAGGCTCAGAGAAGGGTCAGGGCATGCAGGCGCTGGCCATCAGCCCCAACCACCGCTACTTGGCCATGTCGGAGAAGAGCTCAGACAAGGCCACCATCACCATCTATGACCTGGCCTCCGTGCCGTTCAAGAAGAGAAAAGTGCTAAGCGCCCCGGACTTCCTCTCCCAGGCGTTCGTCAGTCTTTCCTTCTCCCCGGACTCCAAGTACCTGGTGGCTCAGTCAGGGGCTCCCGAATGGCAGATCATCTTCTGGATGTGGGAGAAGCAGAAAGTGATGGCTACCGTGAAGGCGGACAGCCAGAATAACCCCATTTACCAGGTAACAGCGGCGCTGTACAGGCGAGGACGCATTGAGGTCAGCCAATAGCGGGGGAGGGGTCCGGCAGGCTGGGACTTTACAACTCCTTTAAAAAAATAAGTGACAAAGGGCGTATTCTTTTTTGCTTTGCACTATCCCGCCGTCACCCTCCACAGATCTGCAGTTACCGAGATCCGAGGGCTGCTGGGTTATTTATTCACACCCGCTCCTGGCCATGTTCCTCACTCTTCTGGGAGACGGCCTTGTAGAAGTCTATGGGGGTGTAATGTGCAAGGGCGGCCAGCAGAGGGAGCACTGCATGTAAACAATAGCAGGACCAAGCCCGTCGGATCTCGATAAGTACGGATCTGTGAAGGAGGAAGGTGAGATCGTTTAGGTCAGGGTTGGGGTCAAAAGGATAAATGCATTGGGGGGGAATTAATAAAAGCTGGAGCAGACAAATCAGGAGCAGTTGCCTATGGCAACCAATCAGCATCTCTCTTTCATTTTCAAATCATAACTAAGTAAACTGTAGACAGAAGCTGATTGGTTGCTGTGCACAGCTGCTCCAGTTTTTGTCTGCTCCAGTTTTGATGAATTTGATGAAGTAGATGGTGACCCTGGGTGATGCCAGAACAATGATGGCACCGTCCTTCTGGAGAGAAAAGCAGATGAAGGCATGGGGGGGGGTACTGTGATCTCTGTGGGAGGTAATAAACCTGTATGCGTGGATGTACGCATTACTTAGCAGCGGAAGAAACTGACACTACTTCCTTCTGTCTGCCTGCTGCAGGTCAGCTTCAATCCGAATGACAACACACAGATCTGCGTCACGGGTCACGGCGTCTTCAAACTATTCCGCTATGTGGAAGGAAACCTGAGGCAGACGAACTTCCAGAAAGTAGAACCTCAGAACTTCCTGTGTCATGCGTGGCTGTCCGAGGATCGTGTCATCTGCGGCACAGACACGGGAAGGCTCTGCCTCTGGGAATCCGGGGATCTGCGCTGGGAGCAGAACATCGCAGGAAGAGGCGTTCCACAACCACAATCCGACAAACGGGGCGAGTCATCCGAGGATGGACGGTAAATGAAAGAAGCTTAAGGGTGCCCACACACCTTGCGATAATCGTGGGAAATCCCGCCATCGTACGATTATCGTAAGGTGTGCGGAAGCCGTGCGACCTCTACTACTGTAAGGTCGCACGACTTTTATCTTAGGAACATGTGCGAAAACCCGCCGAGCATCGTACCATGTTCGGCGGGCGTGTAGCACGTTTGTGAGATAAAAGCCGGACGGGCCGGTGTGCGCAAGCGCACACTGCCCGCTCGGCATTGCGGTCATCGGAAGCCCGCCCCTCAGGGGGCGTGGCTTGCGATCATCGCAAGTACGATCTGCCTGTCCAAGATAGTCAGATCGTACGTTTTTTTAACTACCATACAACCATCGCAAGACAAAAGTCTTGCGATGGTTGTAAGGTGTGTGCCAGGCATAACACAAGTATATTTCCGAAGACCTCAAACTTTTCGGGTGACTCACAAACAATTTATTCATTACATGAAAAATTCATTGTCCGGATATCATTTTTTAATTGTTATTTTTTTCAGTACAATTTTTTATTACTGTAATTGTGTCCGACAATTACAGTACTAAACTGAGATCTTATTTATGAATGGAGCTTCCCGCCTTCATGTGATTATGATGTCATTGCAAACAGAGTGCTCACATGTTTGGGAACTGTCCTAATTAGTTTGTGGGGACCCGAGCTGTCAGTGACAGCCTGTTTGACCGCTAGCAGCGGCGCATAGTGTCAGCTGCTAGCTGTGAAAGGAGGGACGCGGATTATGGGGCATTGTGCGAGGGAACTTTAGTCTGCAGTCTGGAATCAGATAAAGAGATTTTCAAGTTTTAGAAACTAATAATACATCTTAAACCAAAATATTTTTTTAAGCTTTGTATAGAGTAGGGAAAGGGTTAGAAAAGTTTTTTTTTTTTGCCACCTGTGTCCCTTTTAGTAGATTTCCCTTCACTTCCTGACTGTAGACACAACAGGAAGTGAGAGGAAATCTCTCCAAAGTGGAGGAAATCCAACCCCCTCCCTATGGGGAACACTTGTTTCAGCGACAACTGTATGAGAGGGCATTTCCCTCACATTGGAAAAATAACTTCTCACTTCCCTTTGAGTCTACAGGACAGGAAATGAAGGGAAATCTCTCCAACGAGACACTGATGGAAAGAAGAAACTAGCAGCCTTAGACTTCCTCTATTATAAATGATATATATACTGTATACCAGGGCTCAAAATTTCAAGTCCTGAGCTACTAGCCAGGCCTTAAAAGTTACTCGCTACCAGTTGCGCCAGCTACCCCCTACCCTGCCCCGGCCTTAACTCCGCCAGGTCAGCGGTATGACGCACAGTACAGAGGATCAGAGTGACGCACAGCGCAGAGGTCAGAGTGACGCACAGCGCAGAGGTCAGAGTGACGCACAGCGCAGAGGTCGGTGTGACGCAGAGGTCAGAGTGACGCACAGCGCAGAGGTCAGAGTGACGCACAGCGCAGAGGTCAGTGTGACGCACAGCGCAGAGGTCAGTGTGACGCAGAGGTCAGTGTGACGCACAGCGCAGAGGTCAGTGTGACGCACAGCGCAGAGGTCAGTGTGACGCACAGCATAGAGGTCAGAGACGCACATCGCAGAGGTCAGAGTGACGCACAGTGCAGGGTCAGTGTGACGCACAGCGCAGAGGTCAGTGTGACGCACAGTGCAGAGGTCAGAGAGACGCACAGCGCAGAGGTCAGAGAGACGCACAGCGCAGAGGTCAGAAAACCTCGCTTGTCTGTGGGGGGGTGGGGGTGGGGGGGGGGGGGGGGGGTGCAGAGATCCTCCATGTATCCTCTTTTCCCCCTGCTACATAACTTTCTGGATGGCAGTCTTGCTCCCAGCCTGGCAGCTGAGGTGGGCGGAGGAAGCTGCAGAAGACAGCGGAACTGAATGTCATCGAGGTGCGCCGCCGGCGGGACCAGGGACGGGACACTACCGCTGCGGCGATCGTTCTCTCTTCTCCTTCTCTGGCACTCTGTAGCTGCAGCGGCCTATGAGAAGAGAGAACAGAAGCGAGCAATCGCCGCGGGGGTAGTGTCACATCCCTGGTCCTGCCGACGGCGCACCTCGATGAGATTCCACTCGCCCCCACGCAATTTTCACAATTGCGAGGGGGCGAGTGGAAATTTTGAGGCCTGCTGTATACTATTACACTTTAAGGGCTCATCCCCACCCATTGTGTTGAGGCTTCTTTCCAGCGCAGCTGCAGCACCAGACAAGGTAATTTGCCTGGTTCCAGGTGGGCTCGGTCCACATCACTGTGTTGGGGTGGTGTGTGCTGAAAAATAGTGCGGCATGCAGTACTTTTCTCAGTGCAACGCAGTACAACAGTGCCTATAGAACGTTATAAAATGTCATTGTGACATTTCAATGAAGTTCTAAAAAAAAGGAAATAGTGGAATGCATCATGAATATTTAGAATCTTAGAATATTTTATTTTCAGGTTGAATGTAATACGTTACATTCGACCTGAAAAGAAAATATGCGTTACCGCATTATGGCCACTAGATGGAGCGGAGGAGCATAGGAATAAATGCTTATTTTCTGTGCTCCTCACCTCCATCTAGTGGCCATAATGGGGTGTTACATTAAATGCAAGGTAAAGGAAAATGTACTTGTGGCTGTATTTGCACAGAACGAACGCTCATAGAGTCTTGCAGGGCGAATGCTTGTGCAAATTGTTTGAAAATAGACACCTAAGTGTCTGGGCAATGCCAGGAGCTGGGTAATCTTCATGCTGTGCGTAGACATACATGCTCCCTAGATGCTGAAAATGACCGCAGTTTCCTTGATTGGACGAAGCGGCTCCTGAATTCTACATGAACTGTCTCTCTCTGCTGTAATAATTGAACATATTTTATCTGTAAACGTTTAGAAGTTGCCTCTGTCTTCCCACAGCACATTCTCAGCCATTGACAGCGCCAGCTCGTCTCCAGTGCGTGTAAATGCAATTTTGGCTTACTCCAAAGGTTTCCTGTGTTCCGGGGGCCCCGGCAAAGTCTGCATGTATGATAAAGTAGAAGACCGAGAACTCTACAAAAGAGTCCGCAACATCAAAGTAAGCCGCAATGTATGAAAGACGAGGAGGCCATGTCATTCTTTTTGACCCCAAAGCCGGCAAAGTCCAAACAAGCACATATATCATTCTTCTTCTATTATTATATGTCACCGCCTATGGAGGGCGCACATTTATTACACACTGCTTATTCTTACATCACATGCTAGCCTTGTATTATTCAAGCATTAAATGACCCCAGGGCCATCTCCAGCCCAAAGTGTGGAAAAGGGTAGATCTCTTGACTGGTTTTCGTTTGTGTCCCCATTGGGGAGATTTACCTTCACTTGCTGTCAGAACAGTGGGGGGCACATTGTTGTTTTTTTTTTCCAGTGACAAGAACATAGCAAGAATACAACCCTGTTCAGGTTCCCAACGCATAAAGGCTGTGACACACTGCACGCGAAGCAGTGCGGAGCGGTGGCGCGCTGCCTTCCCGAGCAGTGTGTCATGTAATTTTCTCCTCGGCACGTCAGCTTGCGAGAGCTCGCGTAGCTGAGCGTGCCGAGATGGAAAATGTCATCTTCAGCCAATCGGCTCGCGTGTATAAACCCGCGCGTCAGCATGCAAAGTCCGGCTGGTTGTTACGCACGAGCCGATTGGCTGAAGGTGCAGTCAATCATCGGCCTGCACACTGCGCGCACACTGCATGCAAAGCTCCGTGCCGGAACAGCTTTGCTTCACTCTGCACGGCTTTGCGTGCAGTGTGTCACGGGCTGAATCCTTTGGGTTCCACACAATGACTGACTGTCATTGTGGTGTCACCCCCCCGGAAAAATCAGCTGCATATGAGAAGATGGGACCCAGCGGCATACCTTATCCTGCCAGATGAACATCCCCTCCCCAAGATGGCCGTCGGGAGTGAATTGCATGTGAATTGCATGTGACATCATTACACGCATGTGTAATGATGTTACATGTAATGTAATGACATGCGCACCGGATAACACCCAGTAGTCGCACCAGATTACACCTGGCCTGGTGACACCGCTGTCTATACCCTGTACTGTACGGCAGTACATACCTGATTCGCACATAGATCCCTGACCTGTTGGTAACGGTGTTCCTATTAATATGGCCATTGTATTTCCTTCATATATGTGCAGTACTCCAGGATGAAAGAACTCCTCCATGTTGCCTCTGTGCAGGAGCTTCCTGTTATACAGACCAGTCATGGTTGCTCTCTCTCTATGTGCAGGGTGATTGGTCTTGTATCCGTCCCCCTCCTGTAATTGAAGAACACTTTTCTGAGTAAAATGTGGAAGGGTCACACTCTCGGTCAGGTTATTATGGTCTGTGTCATTCTCTCCTGACAATTGCTCCACTTATTTCTAGCTTGCTGTCACAGAGACAGGAAGTGAGTTGTGGATGGACTGGAGAGGATTTAGAATCCCTCTCTGGTTTTTATTGCTGTCTGTGTCCTCTGCTGGGGAGATTCACCCTCTCTATTTGTCCTCGTGATCACTATCATCAGGACAGAACGTTATAGTAAGTCCAAATATGTTACAGTTGTCATTAGGGATGTCCCAATACCACTTTTTCAGGACCAAGTACAAGTACTTCCCCTCATGCCGATACCAATTACCGATACTTTTTTTTTTTTCCTTTTTTTTTTTAAGGGACCGGTGACTTTAAATGATCCATAGTACAACTACAAGCTATGTACTATGGATCATGATTTAACCCATTCAGATTAGCAGTGCAGAATTGTAAATCTATTGCTGCAGTGTATTCTATATCTAATGTATATGTACAGTAGATATAGAATGCACTGCAGCAGTAGATCACACAGAAAACAAAGCCCAGGCCACGCCTTACTCACTGTTGCCTCGATCGCGGTGCCTCACGATTTTCCACACACGTGAGGACGTCGTCGGCGCTGAGCTGGAGAGGAGCATCGCGCCACTGTGGGTGGCACTCCAGGTGGGGTCCTAATTTAGGTGGCCGGCGACTGCCTGGAGCGCCGCCCACCGGAGCAGCAGTAACAATTGGCGCGACGCGGCAAGTGGAAAAAAAAAACAACATAGCGCAAGCTTCGGCGCTTTGTATCGGGGTATTTGTACAAGTACTTGTCAAAATGTCCTGTACCGGTCCCGATACCGATGCTTGTATCGGTATCGGGACATCCCTAGTTGTCACCATAACAGGAATAGTGGGAAAATCTTCCAATGGGGACTTATCGTTCGGTCACAAATGTCTAAAAGGGAATTTCCACTTACTTCCCGTCTCAGGGATAACAATGAGTAGAAATCATCTCAAAGGGACAAAGGAAAGATGAAGAAACTACTGATGGTTACTGGATGACTGCTGACTACCAGATGATGAAAACAATATGGAAGATGCTGTAACACATTTAGATGCATGTGTCTTTTTTTGGCAGATCCCACCAGATGAACGCAGTAATGACCCCGGCCTATCCGATCAGCAGGAAGTGTTGTGTATGTGCCTGAGCCCCTCGGAAGAGACGGTACTTGTCAGTACCAATAAGAGCCAGCTATACAGCATCGCCCTGTCTTCTGCTGAGATCAGTAAGGTGAGAACTGACAAGTATACATGCGCAGCAGGGGTAGACAAACTTCATCCATCCAGCTGTTGTGGAACTACTAGTCCCATGAAGCATTGCAAGACTGACAGCCACAGACATGACTCCCAGAGGCAAATGAAGGCTGGAATTTGTAGTTTCACTACAGCTAGAGGGGCAGGGTTCGGCTACCCGTGATGTACACTATTAAAAACAAAAGAAAGGACAGCAGTCCCTTGTCCTTGGAAAATAAAGAGTAGTTTTTTTAATAATAAAAATACCATTCAAAACATGCGGACGCAAGGAATATATCGTCTATTAGATAAAATAAAAACAAGCATGGATATGCCGGAGTCATGGGATACTCCCGAGTGTCTGAACACTGACTGCAGCCAGTAATATATGGTAAGACTAAATGTGTTTTCAGAGTCATCAGAGCCAATGTGCATGGAGCCATTCCCCCATGTCAACATCCTCCTATTGGGAGCCTGCGTCGCTGGTCACCAGAGGAACACCCTACGTCAGCATATTTAGAGCTCAACCTTGGGATAAGTCAATATTGTCCTCATACAAGAGTCATGTGTATTCTTTTTGAATCTTGGTGAGCTTTGTGAATCTCTTCCAGATCTGTGTAGTAATCCCGTGTTAGACTTGGAACTTCCTGTAGTAAAGACCGGTCACTGCTCCTCTCTCCTTGTGAAGGGTGACTGGTCTTGTCTCCGCCCCCTCCTGTAATAGAGACCGGTCAGTGCTGATCTCCTTGTGCAGGGTGACTGGTCTTGTCTCCGCCCCCTCCTGTAATAAAGACCGGTCACTGCTGCTCTTTTTCTTGCGCAGGGTGACTGGTCTTGTCTCCACCCCCCCCGTAATAAAGACCGGTCACTGCTGCTCTCTCTCCTTGTGCAGGGTGACTGGTCTTGTGTCCGCCCCCTCCTGTAATAAAGACCGCTCACTGCTGCTCTCTGTACTTGTGCAGGGTGACTGGTCTTGTGTCCGCCCCCCCCTGTAATAAAGACCAGTCACTGCTGCCCTCTCTCCTTGTGCAGGGTGACTGGTCTTGTGTCCGCCCCTCCTGTAATAAAGACTGGTCACTGCTGCCCTCTCTCCTTGTGCAGGGTGACTGGTCTGGTCTCTGCCCCCTCCTGTAATAAAGACCAGTCACTGCTGCTCTCTGTCCTTGCGCAGGGTGACTGGTCTGGTCTCTGCAGCCTCCTGTAATAAAGACCAGTCACTGCTGCTCTCTGTCCTTGCGCAGGGTGACTGGTCTTGTCTTTACCCCCTCCTGTAATAAAAAACGGTCACTGCTGCCCTCTCTCCTTGTGCAGGGTGACTGGTCTTGTCTCCTTCCCCTCCCTTTAGTTTTTTCCAGGTACCCTGTAGTGGGCGGAGTCTGATTATATTACAGTAGTAGCAATGGATACATTCCCTCCAGTGTTTTATAATTGTTGGTCAATTGTTTGCACATTCTAGAATTGTTACATTATATCTCTTGTTACTAAAATGTATTGATTTCCTTTGATCCTCAGCTCCCTCTAGTGGCCATAATGAGGTATTTTCCCCATTCACTCTACATTTTTTTTATCAATGAACCTATTTTTACTACTGCCCATAACATTTGAAGAACATTCAACCAGAAGAGAAAATGTAGTAAATACCATTTGATTTTCCCCCATTCTCATAACAGCTGGTTCATTTGCACAGAGGGAATGTACATGCAGACAAATAGCTATGCAAATTGTTTTGATAAATAATGTCTGCCCTTTTGGGATATACTTTTATCCTTTCCCACGGTACAGTGGGGACATTAAAGATTTTCTGGTGTGATATTAATACATTATTTTATACAAGAGCTGTGGTCAGAGCACACTCATCTCTACTTACGGTTGCACAGGCTGGAAATATGACTGTGGGGCCAAAGTTTCACCCATTTTAATCATAGAATGATAGGGGGCCTTGGAAACATGGCAAGCCTACTGTTATTTGTAGCACCGCCTGGAGCTAGATTGCACTTCTTCCTGCTTGTTGTAACATTGATAAGTCATTTGTCTTACAGGGAGATGATGCTGTCTTTGAGTTCTTGACTGAGTCTTGGCATTCATCTTCCATTACTGGTCTGAGCATCTGTATCCGCAAGCCTCTCATCGCTACCTGCTCCCTGGACCGCTCTGTGCGCATCTGGAGCTACGAGAACAAGTAAGATGCCTTTTGTAATTCTAGTCCTGCATTGGGCGACTAGCAGAGCATGTGTTGTAGAAGATCTGCAAGTCTTAAGCTGGCCATACACCTTACAACCATCGCACGACTTTCATCGTGCGATGGTGGTAAGGTAATTAAATGCTCGTACGATATGCCCATCTTGGACAGGCAGATCGTATTTGCGATCATCGCAAAGCCCGCCCCGCTGAGTGGAGGGCTTCCGATGACTGCAATGATGAACGGGCAGTGTGCGCTTGCGCCCACCGGCCCGTTCGCCATTTGTCTTCCGAGCATGCCACTAACCCGCCGAAAATCTTACGATTCTCACCGCGTTTTCAAGCGTGCTCGGAAGACAAAAGACGTGCGACCGTACAGTAGAAACGGTCGCACGCCTTCCATACACCTGCCGATTATCGTACGATCGCGGGATCACCTGCGATTATTGTACGATAATCGGCAGGTGTATGGGCACCTTAACTTTACCCTCCCAACTGCTGAATGGCAAGGCATGCTGCGACTTGAGATTGCCCAGCTGTGCCGCAATCTAATAGGACAGTGTTGCATTGAATTAGTGTAAACAGTTTTCCTCTTAGATGTTCTTTTAATACCGATAACTATATTGTTTTCACTGGCAGCACTCTTGAGCTTTACAAGGACTATCAGGAAGAAGCCTTCAGCGTCTCTCTTCACCCATCCGGACTGCACGTCCTTGTGGGCTTCTCAGACAAGTTGCGTCTCATGAACTTACTTATTGATGACATCCGTCCATTCAAAGATTTCACAGTCCGTGGCTGCCGAGAGGTAAAGTCCAACCAGTAGGGGTTTTATCTGTGTAAATTGTTCAATTTGTATTTTTTAAGTGTGTTCACTTTAATCTACCAAAACAACTTCACCTGCCACTCATGGTTCATACACTGTATGTCCAAAAGTATATGTACCCCTCCACAATGAGTTCAGATGTTTCCAATGAAGGGTTCTGTTAATTCTACAGTACACAAAAACATTTTAGACAATTGTACTCTGTCAGTCTTGTGGTAACAGTTTGGTGAAGGTTATTTTCTGTTCCAACATGACTGTACCCTGTGTACAAAGCCAGCTCCATATAGACATGGTGTGACCAGTCTGGTGTGGAGGAGATTGAGTAGTCTGCACAGAGCCCTGACCTCAACCCTACTGAACACCTTTGGGATAAATTGTAACGTTGTTTCTTAACCAGGTCTTCTTATCCAACATCAGCATCCGACCTTACAAATGGGCACAAATTCCCAAAGACATCATCCAAAATCTTGTGAAAAGCCTTCCCAGAAGAGCGGAGGATGTTAAAGCCACATGGTGGCAGGCAACATCATATGAATGTCCATGGTTTTGGAATGGCATGTTGAGCAAGCTCATATAGGTGTGATGGTCAAAACACTGTCCATATAGGATGGGCAGCCCCAATGACCAATAGAAAAGTGTAAAGGAAAACTTGCCAGGTTTTATGGCTCCTGGGGCTCTTTTAAAGGGAATCTGAAAATATGTGCCTTTTATTAGGTTTAAAGGGAACCTGATCTGATCTTAAACATAACAACAGTGGTGACATGCAGGTACCCATAGTACTCTTCAAATAAATCCCTATGGTGTCTATTAGATCTTAGGTTTATACTGTATATGGGACTTTGACCTCTGCACAAGTCAAAATTAACCCCATGAAGCTCAACCTTGCCCCCTGTTATTTAACTGTGAAAAGTACAAACAGAAGCTGGCCGTACACGTGCTTCTGCTGGAGTAGTTTTTGGAAGTTTGTACCACATCACTGGTGTCTCACCCAAGTCTCACCCCGTCTCTGGCTCATTTCACCCAATCACAGGCTTAGTCGTAGAGTCTATGAGCCCCACCCTTGCAGTTGTGGGTCCCCTTGTAATGCAAGGGTTAAATGTTCCTTTTATGTCTTGGATACCATTCAAAAGCAGTGTTATTTTTCTCATCCCTCACTCCCCCAGCAGCCAGCGCTCTCCTCTTCCCTCCGATGTTCTGGCCAAGCCCTCAGTGTCCTTACTTACAATGCAGGACTGCTGGTCCTTCATTGTACGTAATGATGTCAGAGTGCGACTGATGGAGTGCCAAGAGGTTTCAGGGGCCTAACTGCACGGGGAGGAGGAAGCCTGCCGAAGCGAGGGATAAGGAAAGTAAAGCTGCATTTCTGGGTACTCTAGACAAAAATGAACCTTTAACCCTGGCAGGGCAGGGAGAGCCCCACCTCAAGGGCAGTTTTTTTAATTTTTCAAAAGTTCAAATTTAAATTAATGTAATGAATGTAGCCACGCATCTCTGCTGTATACAAGGTACCACATAAGTCTTTGGCTGCGTTGTATTGTTATAAGTTCTCACATTCGTCTCTCAATTCTCCTTTGTTTGCAGTGCGCCTTCAGTCATGGTGGGCATCTTTTTGCAGCTGTTAATGGAAACGTCATCCATATTTACTCCACAACAACCTTTGAAAATACCGCTAACCTGAAAGGGCACAATGGAAAGGTAAATGCATTTTTGATATGATAGTTCCGTAAGTAGGAAAACTATCAGTAAAATGTGCTCAGTGCCCTCTCGCTGCCATTTTACAGCGTCCCCTTTAGAGAATAATTAAATCAAAGGACAAAAATGTCACATAGTTCACCTTACCAGTCCTTAGATTGGGTGTCTGTATTAGTTTTCTTGCTACATTTTCTGCAAATACCTTTTGTGCCAGCTGGAAATCCAGCTTTCCCAGCTATCTTTTGTAAACTACGAGCCCCCCACTCACTTAAAAGGCTGCAGAGGGCCATGCACTGTCAAGAAAAGGCATATTTCTGCGCCTGGGGCCATAAGTGTTTGCATACACCTGAGGCCAGCAGCCTGTATATATTAATGACAGCCTGAAAGATGTCACGCTAGTCTGAGCAGTTGCATGCGTACAGGGACAGAGTAAACTGTTTGCATCCAAGGCCACCCATTCGTCCCTGGATGCATGTAACTGCACAGACTTGCACACAGCCGTTGCCTCTGTCCATCTAGGCTATTGGCTGCGGCTATACACAAATACCTGTGACTACCAAGCACAGAAATACACCCCTTGTTGATGGTGTACGGCCCTTTGCAGCCACATGAATGAGCCCTAGACTGTCTACAGCTAAAACATTTTATTTAAATGATTTTGTTATACAAATTCAAAGGCTTACTCAGTAAAACATTTTAAAGTGCTGCAACCGTTACCAACCAATCTGAATTCGGGGTTCTGTATTGAGAGCAGTTAAAGCGACCAATGTATTATGTTGTGTTGTGGTGTGAGCTGCAGTCAAAGCATTGCCTGCTATGCCACAGGAAGAGACATGCACCCACAAGTAGGATGCACAAGCACAAAAACGCTACGCTCACGCGCCCTGCACATCCGTGCGGGTTGCGGGTGTCCGTACTCAAACGCTGACAGGATGGATCCTGTCTGCGTCTGAGCAGGGACACCCGTACGGACCTGTACTTGGTGAGCGTAGGGCGGTGTACAGCCGCGTATTCCCATGGAGAAGGACAGTGGCTGCGTAGTAATCACACTGCTTCCACATAGCGAGCAAGGGTCCTTCTCTGCAGCATTCTCCCAAAATGGGATGCAAAATACAGGTAATGGTATTGAGTCATGATGGGGGAATATAAAAAAGTAGATATTGATATATTGATATCTGCTCTCTCTTAATTGAACTCATGGTGAAAATGGAGTTTTGCTTTTATAACAATGAATGGTGAAGTCCAGTCCTCTATATGACAGGTGCGCTCTGTGGCCTGGAGTGCAGATGACAGTAAACTGGTGTCTTGCGGCCTGGACGGCGCTGTGTACGAATGGAATACACTCACCGGTAAGAGGGAATCTGAATGTGTCCTGAAATCCTGCAGCTACAGCTGCATCACCCTGCTGGCCGACTCCAAAACCATTTTCGCAGTCGGATCCGACCAGACGCTGAAGGAAATTAGTGACTCCCAGGTAAGTTATCAAGACTATATATTCTGTTTCCGTCATAATGAGCCCCTCACCAGGACTGCTAGATGTCTTCCTGGATTAGATGATTGGAATGCACCATAATGTGAATCCAGTGGTTGATTCTGGTAATCAGGAGGAGATTTAGACATTTTAGGCCCCTTTTTTATGGTTTCCAGTGTCTCCTTTTCTCCTGCTGGAAAAACCCCATTCACAGAGTGCAATAGATCAAGTCGAAATTTACACCCGCAATAGAATAGTCAGAGCAGCGACTTCCCTTATCTCAAAGAGGTTTTAGTCTTAAAGGGGAAGTACTCCTTATCTGAAAGTGTTATCTTTTGGCTTTATGCAAAAAAGGTCCTGTGGATGGCCAGGCATCCCTAAAGTTAGCTTCCTATTTTTTACTACAGCATTAGCAAGCAGTGACACTGCAACTCTGGGCACAAAAACCTTAGTAGCCACAGTATAAATCTAATTTATGTGCACCTTAATCTTTTATAACCTTAGATATTACCTTGTAAAGGTAGCAGTGACATCATCACTGTGCTGCACATGGCCTGTGCAAAGAGCAGAGCTGTGGAAGGGACCCAGCAGGCTCCACCCACTAAGTAAACGACAGTAGGGGGGCGGATACATGACCAGTCACCGAGCACAAGGACAGAGAGCAGCAGTAACAGGTCTTTATTAGGGGAGAAGGCAAAGACAAGACCAGTCACCCTGCACAAGGAGAGAGAGCAGCAGTGAGCGGTCTTTATTACAGGAGGGGGCGGAGACAAGACCAGTCACCCAGCACAAGGAGAGAGAGCAGCGGTGAGCGGTCTGTATTACAGGAAGCTCCAAGTTTCACATGGGATTACTGCACAGATCTGGAAGAAATACACATTGCTAAGATTCTAAGTATGCTAAAATTCATGTGATAATACATATGGGTTTAGCATTAAAACAATAATTGCTTAATCTTGTATAGTATGCTGAAACATAGATTTACACACACAGCATCACACACAGGCTGTAGACATACACTACACACACACACACACACACCCCCCACTATACACACATATATACCACACACACACACACTACCACACACAGGCTGTACACCCACATACTACATAAACCCACACACCACCACCCATAGGCTATACACACACACTACACACACATATATACTATACACACACACAGCACCACACAGACTATAAGCACACACTACAAACACATATATACTCTACACACACACTCAGTACCACACACAGGCTGTACACACACATACTACACACACACACACATAACATTTAGGTTATAGCTATGTTTGTGCCAAAGTCTCACTGTGTGTTACTCTTTACATTTACATTAGATTGTGCGGGAAGTTCCGTCCTTTGATGTCACATACACAGCCGTTGCCATCTCTCACTCTGGAAAGATGATATTTACAGGCACCTCGGTTGGTACTGTACGCTCCATGAAATACCCTCTACCGCCACAAAGGGAGTATAATGAGTACCAGGGCCATGCAGGGCCAGTCACCAAGGTAAGAGCTGAGCATTCATTGTTTTTGTGCAAATGTGCTGTAATAATTTTGTAGTTCTCTCACATTAGAAAAAATAGAGGGGAAGGGTGTTAGCAAGGTTGTGGGTTTCCTTTGGTTTCCACTCGAAACCCAAAAACATGCTGGTATCTGACTAAACAGACCCTAGCTCAAATTCCATGTAAGGTCTGGCAATCTGCACTATTAATGAATGTGCGACCATTTGTGAGGTCACATACTGATGTTGGATAAGAAGACCTGGCTAGCAGTGGCCGTTCCAATTCTTCCTAAAGCTGTTCAGTGGGGATGAGGTCAGAACTCTAAAGTTCATCCACAAGTAACCATGTCCTTATGGAGCTGGCTTTGTGCACAAGGGTACAGTCATAGTGGAACAGAAAATGACCTTCACCAAACTGTTACTACGAGGTTAGAAGGGCACAATTGTCTTGAATGCTGTACCATTAACCTGATCTCAATAATATGCTGAAGCAGAGGTGGGGGCTGGAAGGAAATAACATACTTTTGGTTATATAAGTGGCTGTCAGGATCACAAACTCTTGGTTTTGGCCATACCATGCACTTTCATAATTGTATCCTGCGATAAAAACCCAATACATAATCACAATAGGATAACTATCCATAGAGTTGCCATGACTCAAAACTGACCCAATGTTCTACAATGGGTTAGTATCTGTGTATATCCTAATAATTTTTTTTTTTAAATACTGTATAACTGCTCACTCCACAGACCTTGGGCAGTCAGATCTTTTATTGGGTCCCCACCCGCACCATCCTTTCCCTTATTGACTGAATATCTGCCATCTTCTTTTCATTTTCTGTTGTTCGGTTTCTTACACGTTCAGACTTCAGTGTGACACAATCTCTTCTTATAGCTGATGGTGACATACGACGACCAGTATCTTCTGTCCGTTTCTGAAGACGGCTGCCTGATGCTGTGGAAAATCTCCGACAAAGAGGGTCGAGGACTCAAAAGAGATAAAGAGATGGGGTATGCCGAAGAGGTTCTGATTACCAAGTCTGACCTGGAGGAAAAGGTAAGGACGAGTCACCATATTAAGAGAAGTTCCTATGTTGTTTCATTCTCTTCGGGTTGGGCCTCTCATTCAATGTTGTACATTACCACACATTGTTATAAGAAATGTATATGTTTCACAGAGACAGGAGGACCACACTTTAGCAATCCACCACTTCCACTATTTCTTAACTTCCATATATTTCTTAACTGTTTTACCTGAGAAAGGGTTTGTAATTGTGGCCTTTGATTTACACGCTAATGTTGGACACCAAAACAAGCACAGGAGGAAAGCAGTGTAGATAGATCCCTGGTAGGAAATTAACCCAAGATCCCAGAACAGCACAGTGCTAACCACTCAGAATCCATGCAGGATCAAAGCCTAACTCTAGCCATTTCTTTTTTTCTAGGCTAAAGGTGGCCATACACCTTACAACCATCGACTTTCGTTGTGCGATGGTTGTAAAGTGAATAAAAGTTTGTACGACCTGCCCATCTTGGGCGATCATACTTGCGATCATTGCAAGTCCTCCCTGCTGAGGGGAGGGGTTACATGTGATTGCAATAGTGAGCGGGCAGTGTGTGCTTGCGCACCTCGGGCCGTGCGGCTTTCGTCTTGCGATCGCGCTGCCAACCCGACGAAAATCGTACGATTGTCTGCGGGTTTTCTAGCGTGCTTGTAACATGCAAATCGTTTATCCGTACATTAAATGCGAGAAACAAAAAGATACCTTGTCGCACTCCTTACCGGAGTTTGCTGAGCCTGATGAAGGGGACCCTGCGTGGCCCCAAAAGTGCTCTATGGACTGCAATACTGGTTGTGTGTTGGTGACATTTATTCATCTTCGTACAGTAAATGCGGTGGCACACTGCCCATACACCTTGCTATTATCGTACGATAATCGCGGGAAATCCTGCGATCGTACGATGCAAGGTGTATGGAAGGCGTGCGACCTCTGCTACTGTACGGTCACACGACTTTTGTCTTACGAGCATGTTTGAAAACCCGCCGAGAATCGTACGATTGTTAGTGGCATGCTCGTAAGACAAATGCCAAACGCGCCGGTGTGTGCAAGCGCACACTGCCCGTTCAGCATTGCAGTCATCGGAAGCCCGCCCCTCACGGGGGCGGGCTTGCGATGATCGCAAGTACGATCTGCATGTCCAAGATGGGCAGTTCGTACTTTTTTCATTACCTTACAACCATCGCAAGACAAAAGTCTTGTGATGGTTGTAAGGTCTATGGCCAGCTTCAGAGTATGGAACAGTTTTTAGTTCTATCTTTGACCCAATTAAACAAATTTTGCCTAATTTCCTGCACCTGTGACACCAGTACAAGAAATGGGACAGGAAAGCAGAGAGAGCAGTATCATCATTGTCAGAAGTTCTAAGACTTCCTTACTTTGCAGGAATAAATAATATTGTTTTACGTCCCCATCACTTCTTGCCTTGAAAGGAAATCTCCCACACGGATGGCAATAACGAAAGTCTCTAATCCTTTCGCATTCCATCCAAGACAAATGAATATGTTTTGACTTGAGTTGGCATTTAATGTCGAATGCCAGGCTGGCTTAAAAAAATAAAAAGTGACTGTCCCCCCCCATGTCCCCTGTAATGTTTTATTGTGCTCTCTTGCGGATTGTGGCAAGTTGTTATGGTTTCCCTGGTTAGAGGTAAGGATGGGCTCGGGCGTGTTCGCAGCTCCACGTGCCGAGCCCACCAGGAAGCTGACAGCGCGCAGGTACTGAGACATTTTCTCGGTCCGCAGCTGCAGAGATTGGGAAATGTCTCAGTGCCTGTGATTGGCGCTGCGTGCAGACAGCATCCTGGCGGGCTTGGCGCGTGGAGCTGCGAACATGCCCGAGCCCATCCTTAGTTTGAGTCACTGTGCATGTTGCCACAGAGAGCAGGAAGGTGGCATGGCACACAGCATGCTAGCAGTTAAAATGTGACCTGGGAGATGTGTGATGTGATTGGTGTGTGTGATTGGAAACAATGGGCAGAGGATGGACCCTGAGGTGCTGAGTGGGTTAAGTGCTGAGAAAACATAATTATGTACGAGCAGACCAAATAAAACACATTCCCTAGTTTATACAACCATGTCAATTTATAGAACCAGGTGATGTTGGAGCTAAAAACCCGCGTGGAGGAACTGAAAATGGAGAACGAATATCAACTCCGCCTGAAAGACATGAATTATAACGAGAAGCTCAAAGAGCTGACTGAGAAGTTCATCCAGGAAATGGAGGTGCTGAAGACCACAAACCAGGTATGTGCTTCCTGCTAAACGTAACCAATCCAATGTCCTCATCTCTTTCATATCCTACCTCCCCTGGCTGGAGATGAGGAGCGGACCTCTGTAACTGTCAAATTTGTTTACCAGATTCTAAAGGCTGAAGCTGAGAAACAAGAACTGAAACATCAGGAGAACGTGGCTGAAATTATAGAAAAACATTCTCAAATGATGCAGGATCTGGGTATGTTTGATGTGGGAATATATAATATAAACACAAATATATAGCTATAGAAGTGTAAGGGTACACGTCTAACTCACCTCTCCTGGCATACAGTGCCATCCAGTGCAGGGTCTCCTTCCCAGGTTTCTCCTGGAGCGCCGGCACCGCAGCCAGTCAGGGGGCAGCTCACCTGATTGGCACAGCTATTAATTGCTAAGTGATGCATGACTGAGCATTCAAGCAACACACTGCTAAGCCTGATCCAAGCCCCCGCGCTGTCAGAGTCTTAAGGTGGCCATACACTTTACAACCATCCCAAGACCTTAGTCTTGCGATGGTTGTAAAGTACTTAAAAAAATGTACGATCGTACGATTCGTACGATTCTCAGCGGGTTTCTAGCCTACTCGCCCGATAGCTGCGGAACGGGACGGAGTGCGCATGCACACACTGCCCGTTCTGCATTGCCGTCATCGGAAGCCCGCCGATGATCGCAAGTATGATGATCGCAAGTATGATCTGCCCGTCCAAGGTGGGCAGATCGTACAGGCTTTCAAGAAGCATACGACCATCGCAAGACAAAAGTCTTGCGATGGTCGTAAGGTGTATGGGCACCTTTACCCGCATGCTCGTGCCTACAGCTTCAATCTCCTCCATGTCTTCTGAGTCCCAGTGTTCCTTAGAGTCCTAGTGCCTCCTCCTTGCTTGATTCTAGCCTTTATTGTGTTCCTCCATGCCCCCTCACCTAGCATTGTCTGCAGTACTGTGTAATCCATCAAGTGACTCCAGTGCATCCCACAGCTTTCTATATCATCTAGTGACCCCAATGAGCTCCTGTGCTTCCTGTGACTCCAGTGCATCCCAGAGTATTCTATATCATCTAGTGACCCCAATGCGCTCCTGTGCTTCCTGTGACACCAGTGCATCCCAGAGTATTCTATATCATCTACTGACCCCAATGAGCTCCTGTGCTTCCTGTGACTCCAGTGCACCCCAGAGCATTCTGTATCATCTACTGACCCCAATGAGCTCCTGTGCTTCCTGTGACTCCAGTGCACCCCAGAGCTTTCTATATCATCTACTGACCCCAGTGCGCTCCTGTGCTTCCTGTGACTCCAGTGCAACCCCAGAGCATTCTATATAATCTAGTGACCCCAGTGCGCTCCTGTACTTCCTGTGACTCCAGTGCACCCCAGGGTATCCTGTGAGATCTAGTGACTCCATTGCACCCGAGTGCACTCTGTGTCATCTAGTGGCCTCACTGTCACCTGTGTCTCACCTCCATCATCTGCACAGTCCTTCTCTCAGTGGATACAGACCTCTGTCATTGACAGTACAGGAAATATATACACAAATACATCAATTAAGAACAGCTTTGGTAATTAGCAGATATGCGGGCTTTCATATAACATACACAAAGTGGATTGCCAAAGGATTGTATTTCTGGCGATCCAGTCCTGAGATTTCTGTAACCTCTCCTCCCTTGTCAATACATTCTGTCCTGTATCTACCTCTGCCATGTATTGTAGAACATTACCAAACATTGATAAGATTATCTACATTAAATAATCATATTCATATAAATATCTAAACAATTTAAAGTATTTATAGATTCCATTTAATAAGGTAATGCAAAGAGCAATAATAATATTGTGTAAACTGCAATAACCCATCATCATCATCAGGTGCCACTTCAGTTTTAGAGCAACTAAAGCAATTAAAGGTGATTTCTGATTGATTGATTGATTGATTGGTTAATTAATTAATTGGTTTCAGGTAGAACTCTGTGTACTGCTCTTTCCTATCTTTCTATCTTGTTTCTTTAGAGACGGCCAATAACCAGAAGCTGCTGCTGGAGTATGAAAAGTACCAGGAGCTGCAGATGAAGTCACAGCATATGCAGGAAGAAGATGAACGTCAGCTGCATGAGCTGGAGGAGAGCAAGAGCCAGGCTCTAGAGGAATTGACTGAGTACTATGAGACCAAATTGCATGAGAAGGTGTCTCAGCTGCAGCAGGTATGCACCGGAGAGCAAGGTGGCATTTCAATGTGGTTCTGTAGCGGGGGTCCCTCCATGTGATAAAAGCACAGTGTAAACTCTCCCATTGACTCCAGTCATTGTTGTTGAGCAGTATACATATGCCCTGTTGGCTTCTTCCCTCCTGGCCAATGTATTTCTGTGTCATTTAATGACATTGTACATGTAAAATGTCATACAGACCTATGTACAACTGTATGGACCAGCACCCAACTAGTTCCCATGTCCTGCAATTCACCTCTGAACTTGGTACCCAGCACACAACCTAATTTATCTGACTTGTCTTGACCAATACCCACCCGATACTGTTTATAATTAGTTACAATACCTGACATTGTGCATATGGAACCCCAGCTTCAGATCTCTGCAATGTTTTTTTCTGGCCTCCTAAAGGGAATAGGCCCTAAACCAATATCACCTTTGTCTCAGGCCCAGGATGAAGCCCGACAACACCACAGAGAGTTTGAAGAGACGAAGAAGCAGATAGAGGAGGATGGAGACCGAGAGATCCAAGATGTAAAAATAAAATATGAGCGTCGTCTACGGGAGGAGAAAGAAACCGTACTGCGTCTGAAGGGGGAGAACGGGATTATGAGGAAGAAGGTAACTAAATCCAAATGCATTTATTGTCCTGTGTTTCCTCCTTCATTGTTTCCTCTTTTCATCCCTTCTTTACTTCTTTCCACCTCCTTTTTTTTGGGGCTTTCTTTTAGAGTTGCCTCTGGTCCATAAAATGCATTGTCACATAAATATATTGCTTTAATAAAAATGGGGGCCCTCATTAATCAAAGAGAAAGAGAGAGCAGATACTATATAATAAATATACTAATAATGTTGCTCTCTATTATTTTTAATTACGAGCGATGTAGATACCTGTATTAGACCTGGCACCAGTCTCTTGTAGTCCCTGTTCAGCAGAGCTCAGACAAGGAGAGGGAGAAACAGAACATGGAGGCAATCAGTTGTGTTACAATGCCCATGTGCTGACAAAGGATGTGATGATAGGATGCGAAAGTAGAGTGAGAAACAGATGAGCTGATTAAGCTGCTCTTTTCACTGTCCAGTTGGAACCTCACCAAAGCATGAGCAGATATCTGTGTCTCCTTCCTTCCAAGATGTGAATAAGGGGAGCAGAGTGTCACATTGTGCTTTTGAAGCTGAGTGTTTGGTGGCAAGGTCCTCATAAACCAGTGTGTCTCTGGAGAGAAGCAAAGATGGGAGAGAAACGTCATGTTACAGGCCACCTCCAGGGTAACATGAGCCAAATAAGACTTGCACACCTCCAGCCAAAACTTTTTCTAAGAACGGGTAAGGGTTAGAAAGTCTGTGAGGTTTTTGTAGCTCACGCTGACCCCTTTTAGGAAGACATTAAGATGAGACACCAAGATGAGAATGGGTATCACAAGAGACAGGGGTGTCCCTAGCCTTTTCGCTACCTGAGGTGTATGGATGGTGGTGATGGGGGTTGTTCTGTTGGTGCACAGTACGGGCAAGGGGGAAGTCACTGGTTGCCAGTAGCTGGGCAGGATGCCATCCAGAGTTTCCCAGGTTACTAAGAGTTGGGCGGGGAAGTGTGTATGGCTCTTACACATCTCCCTACTCAGCTCTTAGCAGCCTGGGACACTCTGGCCTGAAAGGGGGCGGAAGGCACACTGCAAACATTGTGCAGTAGAGTGGCCACACCACTCTACCTGCTTCCCCTCATGTGACCCAAAGAGATGTCGCCCGTCTCTGTCCCTATTGGAGAGATTTCCCATTACTTCCTGTCCCTGCGACCCCCTGTTATAAGAAAATTTAGGCAAATCTCCCCAGCAGATATGAATAAATATCTGAAAAAGGTTGTAACCCTTCCCAACTCCAAAAAAAAAACTTTTTGGCTTCAGCGCATAAGATCAGCAACCATTACATAGTTATATAGTTCGTCAGGTTGAAAAAAGACAGAAGTCCATCGAAATAAAAACCTTAATCCTCCATAATGTAAATATAACTCTTGCTCCCCAGGCTCCATTGTTATCAGAATAATGTATAATACATATATGAAGAGCCCCCCCCTTTTATTGTCTATCATTTGTACCAAATTCTCATTATAATTTATGTGGACAATCAGTCTTACCCGTGGCCTGTCCCTTGTATAGTTCAGCAGCCTCCAGAAGGACATTGAGGAGCGTGCCGCAGACATCGAGAAGATGAGGCTGGAACAGCAGAAGCTGCAAGCTGTGATTAAATCTCTAGAGAAGGACATCCAGGGTCTGAAGAGAGAGATCCACGAGAGGGATGAGACTATCCAGGACAAGGTGAGAGCCCTGGACGCACATAGGTACCGTGTTGAATCATCTGACTCTGCAGATTTTTCCAAATGACAACTTCCCATACTTATATTGGATCTTTTAGTGACCTTAGAGCCCTGTATTAATACATTCCAGACATGTCACTTTATACAGTATTAGTATAATTATGCAGAAAAGCTCCACCTTTTATTATTGAAAAACAGTCAGTCAGCTCCAGTTAGTGACTTTGCCTAGGCTGGTATAATGCCATCAGTCTTCTGCAGGCAAGAAAAAGCATTTCCTCAGTCTCCTCTTCCTCAGTGATCAGACTGCTACACTGTAAATTTGTTCATGGTATAGGACCCTGCAGTTCATGATGGGTCCACCTCTGACAACTGGTATTTATTTTATAGTAACTTCACATATCCTAATCAGATGAGTAACAATCTGACACTGCAGGGACCTTTGGGGATTTATCTATCAGGGCTCAAATCCCTTCCTCCCTTGTCTGTAATCCAGGAGAAGAGAATTTATGATCTGAAGAAGAAGAATCAGGAACTGGAGAAGTTCAAATTCGTTCTGGATTATAAAATCAAGGAGCTGAAGAAGCAGATTGAACCGAGAGAGAACGAGATCAAAGACATGAAGGAGCAGATTCAGGAGGTATATTTTGAGTTAAACTGGGAGTTTTATCATGTGTGTCAAACCCGTTTCCCTCCCGAGTGTATACTGAGGAGAAAAAAGCGTTCAGCGCCTCGGCCCGCTCCTTGTCCTTTGTGACTAGCTTCCCGCTTCCATCCTTTATTGGGCCTATCTGCTCCTTTCTCACCTTTTTACTGTTAATATATTGGTAGAATTTTTTGGGGTTCTTTTTACTATCTTTTCGCGCTCAGTTTTAGCTGCCCGGATTTCTAGTTTGCATTTTTTGTTACATTCTTTGTAGTTAAGGAATGCCAATGCCGTCCCCTCCGTCTTATATTTTATAAATGCCGCTCTCTTGTCCTTGATGTGTTGTTTTACAGTTTTATTAAGCCATATTGGTTTAGTCTTTGATCTTTTGTTCTTGCTCCCTAATGGTAAGAGGTGAAACGTCTGTCCTTGCTTCTAAGAATCCAGACTGTATTTGATGTTTATATGTTTACACTGTATTGTATCTCCTGTTTTATTAATTTAGTTATATACATGTTAAAGCTGAGCTCCAGACACAAAAACTGTAGTTTAAACATATTCCTCCGTAGCCACAATATAAATGTGGCTAATGATTACTGTAAAACATCTAAAATCAAAGTGCCACACCACAAATAACAGTCCAAATACAATTTTATTCCAATGTAGAGTCAGGAAAGAGAAAGACAATGCACTTTGGGGGTCCAAACTTGCCCCTGTACCAGGGCTTAAAGATAGCAAACAATGTATATGGAATAAACGGACAGAACATTGTATATGGAATAAACTGACAGAACAATGTATATGGAATAAACGGACGGAACATTGTATATGGAATAAACCGACAGAACAATATATATGGAGTACATTGAGGGAACGATGTTGATGGAATCTTGGCCAGTATAATATCAGGCATACAACTGGTCAGCAGCTGGTTTCCCATCTCTTTTTTTTTTTTATTTAATTCCTTATTGGTAACATTGTGCAAAGAAACAAAATTAGATTTGTTATCAGGAAAATCAAATGTTTCGATGCTGAGTGGCACGTATGGTACACAACTTTGTATGTTATAGTTGGCCATAAAGAAGTAGATGAATAATTATGTCGCCTGTGTACGTGGCGACGTGTATGGAGGAGTGCATTTCTTTTCGGATTCAGTGAGTGCTATAATCATGAATTGGCATTGGCACCTCTTCCATCGGTAAGATATAATGGAAACAGAGTTAATCATACCAGTACACAGGGCACAGGTGGGTGTAATGATCAGGGGTGGAGTGCGGGCAAAAGGAAAGGGGGGGAGGGGGCAGAGGTAAGTATTTCAGTGAATATATTTGTCTAGTAGCCCCGATGAAAGGGGAGAGTTCTGGTTGTTTTATTTTACCAATTTATGAAAAAATAGGAGATGAGTTATAAAACCTTTGCTCGTCCTTATGTTGGGCCAATGCCATTCGCACAGCATTCCTGCCGCTGGATGGAGCCAAGTAGCATAGGACATTTCTATGGCCCTGGCTTCATCTATTGGCCAGAATGTCGTGCAAACAGCTTTCGCTCAGCACATGGCTGGGCGCGAGTCTTATGAATCAGCCCCTTAAGTATTTTGGACTCTTTCATTCTTTTTTGTCTGGTGCTCCTTTCTATATTCTTATGGTTTGAGTGACTTTTCGGTACCCATTAAAGGAAGCCTTGCTGTCTGTGAGCTGCCTCATCAGAGCCAATGAGCTCATTTGGTGTTTTTCCACGCTTGACTGTATGAACAATATTTTGAGTCTCAGCATTTCTTTAATGTGTCTTTCTGGAGTTGTAAGATTTCCTGCCTGTCCCACAGATGGAAGCCGAGCTGGAACGCTTCCACAAGCAGAACACCCAGCTGGACCTCAATATCACGGAGCTGAAACAGAAGCTGAAAGCTACAGAGCGGGAGATGCAGAGAGAACGGCAGAAGGTGAGTCACTGACCTGGAGCATGAAGAACTAAGTTTATAAGGCAGAAGTGTTGACTCCTTTACTCACTAACAATGAAAACTGTCATTAGGAAACTCCTTTTGTATTGCTATAATTAGTTCAGTAGTCAGATTTAAAGTGGCGGTAAAGTCAACATTACAACTTGTCCTCATCTTCAATCTCATCATGCAGCCTACTTGTTAATAGCATCCAAATCCTCCAAAGCCATATGATTCATGATATAGATCTTATTATTCCTGGTTAAATCACTTGAGCATGCCGATTTACTCTCACATTCATGGAATCCTGGCCGCCCTGAGATGAGCAGAGTGCTCTGCCGTGAGGACGTCCTCATCTGTCTCTGACATATGATCCTGCAAGTCTTTGTTTACTTCCTGAAACACCATGTGACTTGTAAAATCGCAGGGATTGGAAAATTCGAATAATGTGCTACCTCCTTTTCTTACTCCATGTTGTATGTGCACGGTCAGGGGTGTCTCTAGGCAGGGGTGGTGTTACTTCTGGCATCCCGCTCAGCTCACTGATGTCACTGGTTGCCGAGAGCTGGGTGGAATGCTGGCCAGAGCTCTTAGCAACCTGGGATACTCTGGCAGGAAAGGGGGCGGCAGTCCTTCAGCCAGCACTTGGTCCAGGAAGTAGATGGTGACCCTGGATGATGCCTTAAAGGAGAACAATGGGGTTAGGGCTTTTCCCCATAGTTCTCCTAAGGGTAACAGGAGGACACAAACTAGCGTCCTCCCGTCACACTAGGGTCAGTATACCGCGAGCTGCAGCTCCCTATATACTGAGACGCCTCAGCTGAAACGGATCCCGACAATTATGTCTGGATCCACCCAGCTGCGTGAGTGAAGCTGGCACCATCCTTCTGGAGAGAAAAGCAGGTGAAGGCATTGTGAGGGGGAGTACTGTGATCTCTGTGAGATGGAAAAAATACACTGGCACATTATTTAGTATGCTACACTTAGAATACAAAAATATACCTGAGGACCAGTCCACTGCCCCCCCCCCCCCGCGGGTTTGTCTTTTTCCTCGATGAACACAAATAT